CATTCAACCATCAGGTTCATATGTCTTGTCTATGGCTCTGATACCAACTATCATGATAATAACTTCAATCATGTAGTGTCATGATCTTGACATTCTCATGGCAAGCCTTAACAGGGAACTCAAGCTCTATTTTAACTATTTTACCCGACTTTGTGGCTTGGTTGGACTAGTGACGAGGTTTGTCTTTGCCTACCTAACATCGCTTGTGTGAAATTAAAGCTTGTTCAGCCACACACGCTGTTTGTGCGTGCATGTTCAATCATTGTGACACACCAACGTTGCATCTCATTGTCATCTCGATTCCAAACAACACGATCCATGCATTGTGATGTCATCCTATTTCACGGGACATATCACCATCTTGGCTTGCTCAGACACATCCGTTGGGAATTGACCCATGTGTCGACCATCTCATTGAGACATCCTAAACATCCATCCATATGGGTACACTCGAGCATCAAGCTCTCCCGTGTCTATGCTATGACATACGTTCGAGATAACGGGTGCATATTCCAACCTTTGATACATGTGCTAGATGCAATATCAACATACTTGTGTCATCCGATACTATCAATGAAAGACCCTTTTCAAAGTAAGACGCTCAAGACCGCTCGTTCCGTGATGTTCGCCTACATTGTGACACACGTGTGTACCATAGGTTAGCTCGCTTAGGCCACAGGGCCAAATGTGGTGGAGAGCCAACACCTTGCCTCCATGTATAGTACATTTTGAGGCATTTCCAATCCTTCTCAAGTTGACCTCCTTTTGGCAAGCGAACATACGACCATGCATAGTTTGTCGAGTATCCGTTTCACCAAAAATTTGGTGAGCTTTCATCTTTCATATCATAGACTTAATTTTCGAGCTGCTGCCAAAACTCATAACGAAACCTCGACTTCTAAGGTTATGAGCCAGGCCCTACTCAATCCTCTTCGAGCTTGTCTTTGACACTCGTGTCACCTTGTTCTCACAAACCCTTGCATATGCTTCAACTTAGCTTCAATGCACACTCTTGGTGTGTTGGATGATGCATCGTCCTCTTCAGTCGCATCATGACACTTCTCAATCTTGGCTCGAATGTGGTCATATGGACATCACTTGAGGGTCGCCCCTTGTTTGTCTTCCATGTGTGGGTCACGACCTACTTTCTCTTAGTGAGGTTGTGATACTCTCCCCCACCTAATCTATTCATCGTCCTCGATGACTTTCTCGAGGGCACAATCGTTATCGTCAATTGTGACATGCTACATGCGGAGGGGGGTGTGCTCGCAGTTTCAGATTGGCGCGCTGGGTTTAGGCGAGACACGAGTCGGAAAAATCTGGACCAGGTATGGGTTGTATTTGAGGTGGGATGTTTCGTGATGTGGTTGCTGAACGCAGATGTAAGCTGGACATGTGCTTTGGGCCGAAGGCATCTGTGGGCTGCGGGGGACTGCACACTTGGGTGCGCTGGTGGGTGGAGTTCATCTGGGCTGAAACAGGATTGGGTCTGGGCTACAACGTCTACATGGGCTGGCTGATGGATGTGGGTTTCGAACCGAGCGAACTAGCTCTGGCTCTGAAGCCTAAGGCAGAGATTCGAGGCCTTTTTCCAGATTTTTTATCTTTCTTTTTGCCTCTATTTTCTACCCATGTTGGGTCATTTTAGTTGATTCTTAGCCCCTTGGAGTGTTGAGGTGGGATATATGTATTACTCCAAATAACATACTGGGAGACTTTGTAGCATTCAACTCATAATTATGTCTCAGACCAACTGACAAGAGGTGAAGAAGAGAGACAGACTGACGACCCGAGGTGGAGGAGGAAAAAGGACGGAAAACGACGTCGTCAAAAACGGCCGCCGAAGAGGAGAGAGAAAGGAGGTCAGAAGTTGCAAAATTCGAGTGAAGAAAAAAGGATCCATCGGATCCGGATGCGGATCCGGGTCAAATTCAGGCAACAACCCACGCCAACGCTGGAGCCCAGATCTGTAACGCCTCAGCCCGCGAACCCAGCAACCTGTAGCAACTCGACCCAATAACCACTTCGGCCCAATCCACCTGCAACAGCCCAATACCCATGTCAGCCCAGACCTGCAGTAGCCGTGACCCACGCACCGGCGTTAGCTGGCCAGATACCTGTGCCTCGAGGCGACATGTACCTATCTCACGGCGACACGTGTCACCACTTGCAGCAAACAGTTCTTCAGCTTCAGCAGTTTGAATTGGCTCGGCTCTAGCTTCGACTCCGTAGCTCAAAAACCTGTTATTCGGCTTGGGTTGTACAACAATATAGCCTTACTTACATTTTTTATTTTTTCGGAGCTGATTTTGACCCTAAATAAGGTAATCGAGGTCATTACAATGACTTATTTCAAAATTTTAAGTTGAATTTATATTAGAATTGTGAAATACTAATAAAAGGCAATGCAAGACCTAATAGCATACGAACCTTGATTACATTTGAAATAGTTTCAAGGAACAAAAGCTTAGCAAACACAAATTCAAGAAAATGTTGGCTAAGCCCAAACAAGTCAGTGACCTTACTATAGAATAGACTAGACAATTGTTTGATATATGACAATATGTGCCTAGTGGCAATGACACATGTCATTTATGCTTTATGTTATGATATCTTGATGATGATTTATGATGTATGTTGTATGATGTATGATGATGTCTAGAAGTCTTTGATGACATTTGATGATGTTTTACGATGATTATAATGTGTTTATGAGGACGTTGTATAATGATGGCAATGCATGTTAATATGCCGATGTAAGATGTTGTTATATCCTTGATATAACGCAAGTTTCATATTATATTAAAACGAGTAGCATACTATGAATGTCATATTGCATTATGAGGATGATTTTCATAAATATGTTTGTAAAGATGAGAAACCATAGGAAATTCATGTATTTCTGTGTGTACATAAACATTGGGATACTTCTTCTTTTACGATGATAATATAGACGCATACACTACGATGATAATAGTGATCATGTTGCGCATGACACTCAGAAGTCTGCTGACCTCTGGACGTTGCTACGGACAGCTAGCTCGACTATGATGAGTCTAGAGGGAGTGCGAACCGCTTGGGGATTCACGCTCACATATGTGGGTCGTGTGTAGGGAATTATTACACATCCAATTTAGTCCGGACTAGAGGTCACCCCTAGGATGATTTTAACAATAGGTTCTTAAAGCATGACTTGCATGTGTTGCATTTTTACGGCCCCTATAGAGAGCTCACTTACTGAGTATTTTTTGAAATACTCAAGTAGTGTGTTACATCAAATTTTGGGTAAAAACAAGATACCTTTATGTGGCTGTATAACTTTTTAGAAGATGAGTATTAATACTATTTTTCAAAATTCATGAATATTTTTTGAACATGATATTAAGATAAGAATATTTTTGAACTTTTAAAATCCGTTATATTCGGAAGTATCTCGTATAGTCCAATATCATCCTTTTTTTACTCTCTTTTGATTAGGTTTTGGTATTTATCTTATAAAATTTGCATAGATATATTTTCGTTGATGTAATCTTTTATCTACTTTTATGTTTTCTTGTCCCTTATATTCTCTCTCTTTCCCACTTTTTTTTTTTTCCATGTCCTAATATATGCTTTTACAAGTACACTTCCGAAATATATTAAAATGTTAATTAATGTGGAAATTTTGATTTTTTTTTTTTTTTGTTGCTTTAATATACATTTTAATAAATAAACAAAAATATAATATAATTTTCATACTTACTATCCTTTCTAAAATTCAAATTTCGATATTACAACATAGTATTCAATCTACTCAAACACATAACAATAAATATATATATATATATATATATATACCCATTTAGCTATCAAAATAGGGAATTTTCAACCCATTTAACTGTCAAAGGAAAATCTCTCTCAATTCTTATATGAATGTCCATCTCCCATTTCGACCCTTCAACGAAAATGGCCACATGAAACAGATAAACAAAAAATGTAGTAATCTTACACTACTGATCATGATCATGGCATTTGATAGATCTTTGAAGTTGAAGGAAGGTTGGCAGCCAGAAAGCATCAAAACCGATACTACGCAGAGTTGAAACACGAGAAAGAAAAAATGTTAAAAATGGTTAAAAATAAAAAGCTCTAATACCATATTAAAAATGAGGAAGAAGAATTGGATGAAAAGTCTGATTTTGATTAATGTTCACCCGGTAAAATAAGATAAAATATAGGGTAAAAAATATATTTTAATAATAACGTTGTAGATGTTGAAGACATGTTCTGAAACAGCAGGGGAGCTCAAACATGATGGTGAGCTGAAAAGGTTTTGCTGTTGGTTGAGGAATCAGTGGTGGTATCGCCGCCACCTGCTGCAACGACGACGGGACATGGGGTTAGGTTTGGACCCAAAAAAAAGCTAAATGGGTTCACGGGATTTAAGCATGGTATCCTCATTTGGGGATTGGATTGAGAATTTGAGATAAAACGTCACGAGGATTGGATTGAAATTCGACTCGGGGAGGGGAGTTAGGTCTCGGATTCTAACGATTGACTCATTCCGATTCAATTTGAATCAGTTAGTGTCTATCTATCCTTTACAAAACCAACATGAGTCGAATCATGTCAATTTTGCATTAAAAATTGACTCGATTCATTTTCACTCATAAATTTATTAAAAGTTAATATATTTAAAGAGTGTTAAGGTTCGGGCCCTAACTTTTTGAAAGTTGGAACAAAAACAACTTTCTTCCTCTCTTGTTACCCTACTTTTCCTATATGCATTGTTTTTTAAAAGTGACTTGACAACATTTAACTAAGATTCTATTCTTTTGTAGGATACCAAAAATCCATTTCACAATGTATGGACGAGTAGAATGCACAACATGAATTGAAAGTGGTCATCCAACGCACAACAAGTACTCAAATAACTATACGAATGTACTATTGTGGGTCTCGTGCAATGAACCCAATTTTATCGTATAATAGTATTACATATTCTTTTCATTCAACATTGTTCGTTATAAAAATGATATCTTATTTTATTTCGTGGACGATTAGATTATGTTATCGAAAACAAGGAATGGAAGAAAGCGGTAGCTGTTGGGGGTGAATTAGAATTCCCTAGGATCAACGAATATGGAGAAGCTGGGTGGCGATTTAGTCCAATCGCCGAGGGAGTTGTCGGTGTAGCATTCACCAAGGCGCTTAATGCACCATAAATCCTCCGGACATGACAGTTTTTTCCAATGTGGAATGTCGGATTTGAGCGGCTCATCGTTTGAAACCTCCGTAGCCACCACACCACAGCCACGCTCCTTTGCCAAATTGTGCGCGTGGTGGCAAAGCGCCTTCATCAGCTTCCCTGCGAGTGGGCCTTCTCCTCCTACCCCATACAAAAACAGCACTCCAAATGGCGTAAACACCTCCGGAACTGATGGCAGCCGCAACCACGGCAGCCCTCGATCAATCACACGGCTGAATTTTGCCATCGCTCGCTTCACCACGGACACGCCACGAACCTCCAGCGCATACACGTCCTTGCAATTCCACGCGCTTAAAACCGCCCACGATTCCGGCAGACACGACAAAAACCGATCAGACTCGACCCACAACCCATCTGTAAAACTCCCACGTGGCACTGCTAGAAATGTGCCGAGGCTTAGCCGGTTGGAGAGCACCGCGTCAATGTCGCGCGGGAAAAACTCCGCCGCCGCGAACCGACATCGATACAGTGTCTCGGCGACAGTCAGCTCGAGCCGGAGGATGGTGACTTGGTCGGAGAGGCGGAGCCGGTGGGCGAAAACAGGGTTCACGAGAATCGACGGCGTTCTGAACTTGAAATAGCCGCATTTATGAGTGAATAGCTTAATTGAAGCGACGTTGTCAATCTCTGTAGCTATGTATGAATATTCCGCTTTCTTCTCTCTGAACCATTCCTCCATTCGCCTTACCAGATTCAATCCAATCCCCAATCTCCTACAAATACAGTATCAATTCTTAGTCTAATCTATGAATACTCTGTTTTTCCGAATACTCTGTTTTCTCTTAATGTATGAATACTCTGTTTTTTGTTTTGTTTGAATTCCTTACCGGTGATCGGGGGAGACGCGAAGGCCTAAGATGTAAGCGAGTTTGGTGTAAACAGGGGCGAGGTGGGGAAGATCAGAGGCGTTAATTCCGGAATTTCTAGTGGATTTAGAGCAGCAAGTAACAGTCTTGATGCAGCCTCTGATCATGCCGACGATCTCGTTGTGGGCGGCAATTTCCGCGACCTGAATGAATGAATGAAGTTTTTGAGAATTGGTGATGAAATTTGAGGGGGAGAAGAAAAAGGGTGGGGGGGGAAAGAGTGTTACGAGCATGAGAAAGGCAGGGGAATGGCGGACTCTGCAAATTGGGTCACCGAGGAGATCGGTGAAGAGGGAGAAGTTTTTGTTTTTGGTTGAGCCAACTTCGCATCGTCGTTCAACATCTTCAACGGCAGGTCTGTCTTTAGTGGGGTCGAATTCTCTGATGAGAATTTGAATGTTGTTCTTCCTCTTCTTCTTCTTCTTCTGGTCTGCCATGGCGGATTTGAGAAACAGAAGAGGAGGATGCTACAGAGATGGTGGGTTCATTTCACTATTGGAGATGGGAACACGAGAACGACAAAGAGTTGAGGGATTGTTGGATTAAGATCAAAAAAGAAAAGAAAAAAAAAAAAGGAACTTTTTTTGTTATGAACCGTTGTGTTGTGTGGATGGTGTTTATAATGGTGGATTTAAAAGCAATTTGGGGCTTTTGGGGGGCTTTCTTTTCCGCTTGTTGCTGCTGTCTTTTTGTCTCTCTCTCTTAACCCCACCTTCCCCTCCTTCCTTTTTTCCTTCTTTCCTTTGTTTTTGTTAACACATGAGAGTGTATTTTTTTTTAAACAAACTACTTAGTTGCTTTACGCATCGATTATCATTCTGAGGATTTCATCTTTCACGGGGGAGCGGGAATGGAGAACCACGCCTCGTGCTTCATATTCCATCATCATAACAAATTTCATTTATTTTAGTGGAGATTCCTGCACCAATTAATTCATAGAGATTGAGTTTCCAAAAATGTGGGTTAATCGATAGGGCGAAACGAGAATTGTGACAATGCCAAAGTCGATGGCTGGGATGAGAAATGTCATCTTTGTCACTGCCCCCATTTAACTAATAGGGAGAAATATCTTTTAACTTCTTCTCTCCTTTCTAATTTAATATTCCAAATTCCACCTTAATAATTTTGTACCAAAAAAAATATATAATTTCAATTTTTGAAATTTATTAATATGACCTTTTATTTTTTTTAATATAAAGACTAGCATGATGGTGTAAAGACAAAAGTGAAAAAAAAAAAAAAGAAAAAGAAAAAACCAAAAAAATATATAGCAAATGTAATAAAATAAATTAATTATATTCACTTAGAGAACTAAAATTATCAGAGGTGAATAAGTTCCTTATATATTACAAATTGATTATTTTATATTATTGAGTATCAACAAGGAAAAAAAAAATGAAAAAGAGATTCATAATAATAAAATAAATTAAAGATTAAAATTATTTGAAATATCTCAAATGAACAAGATATTTAGAACCCATTTAATTTGAATTATCCAACTCAAATTTAAATTGGGCTAATTTTTTTTCTTTTTTTTGGTTGTGTAACGTTCGAATATGAAGTTTGATGCTTCCATAGAGATATTATAGAGATATATTTAGTATATATTTCGTAAAGATTCTAAAAGGTAAATATTTGGTTCATAGCTCTTTTGGTTCATATTCTCATTTATTTGGTTTATAGATGAGAATTAGTATTGCTATGCCTTGTCATTTTGTATTTGACTAGAGGCAATTGGGAGAAACTTTGTAACAGATACTTGGTAGAGCAAGAGTATAAGAGATACACTTGTAAATACTTTGGTTATACTGGTTGGCTACCACTAATGGATGTAGGTGAATTTCTTCTCTTCGAATCACGTAAATCTTTTTGTTTTTTTTTTAAGTTCTATTTGGGGGTGTGCAGGTGTGATTGATCTTGGTTCTACTTCTCTACAACAATTGGGTATCAGAACATTTTTGTTGCGGCATTAGAGTACAACATAGTTGTTTTGATCCCAAAATAAGGTTACAATTCAATCCAACCATACTTTTAAGATTATTACGAACATAAAGAATATTTGATATTTCTAACTGATAGTGATGCATGATGACTTACAAATATTTGAATTTTATGAAAATTTAGTTTAACATATATTATGGAAAATATCGTTTTTAAATAATTAAAAAAAATGACTTTTGAATATTTGAATTTTATGAAAATATAGTTTTTAAATAATTAAAAAAAAAACAACCCAATCCAATTTAAAAATAAAAAGTTGAGTAAAGTTCGACTGATTTTTTTGTACTTTTTCTATATTTTATTCCATTAAAATATTAATAATTTTCTCATTTTTATTACTATAAACTTTAATTTCTTATTTTTCTTAATTTCTTAAAATAGACCTTCTAAATTAAAATGGAAGAGAACAAAAGAATTATTAAGTTTTTGACGTTCCAACAATTTTATATTATATAATTAAAAATAATTATTATTTCGAATTAATTTATGTGCATGGAGGGTAAGCCTTCTACCTTCTATAGCCTTTCATATTCCATTTATTTAATATTTATGGGTGCATTGAAGAATTTTAGGTTACATTTTATTGCTTTTAATAAATCAATATTAAAATAACATACACGTAATTTCATATTATTATTTTGAAAAATAATTATTTTATCTAAATTGAACCCATTATTATTTTTATTACTTTAATTGTTTATTAAAAATCCAAATATTTTCACGCAAAGACAAAATTAATTTCCTATTTTCATTTCATATTATAATTAAGTTAATAAATAAAATCATAATTAAACCAAAAACCCTTTTAACTTCTTGAAGAAGGGACTGACAAAAGGTTTTAACAACTCTATACATAATTAACCATTAATTAACAAATTTATTATTTATAATTCATCATTAATTTACATATTTAATAAATTAAATAAGAGTATAAAAACAAATACAATTATATACTTGGCTTATTGTATTAAAAAAAAAAAAAAAAATCTTTGAAGGAGCTCGATTTTCCGACTCACTAAAAGAAACTGGTAATATTTAAGTGATGTTACTGCCTAAATTAAGGGGTTTTTTATATTTGACGGTATAACTTAAGTGATCTTTCAATATTGTATTGATATAATTACGAGAGATTATTTAGCAAATCATTTTCGTTACTCAACCCGGAACTCATTTTTAAGTAAAACATTTTTTTTTTTAAAAAAAATTATTTTAGATTAAAAAATGGATTTAAATAACATGAGAGATTGGAAAAAGAAAAGGGCAAAAAGGAAAAAAGTGATAGTGGATTGGATTGTGTTTGTAATTAGTATAAATATTTGTCCCTATGCTATAAATTGATAAAAAGGGAAGGACATAAGAGAAAGTTGGATTTGGAGAAAGCAAAAAAGGGAGGGACGTGGCTGAATTTCCGCCGTACAATTGGAATGGACAACTCCGGCGGCTGATTTCAACAAGCAATTAGATAGGTTTTTATTTGAATAATTCTAAAAAAAAAAGAAAAAAACTATTATAAATGAAATTGATTAAATAAATTTCAACTAGACTAGGGTGGCTTTATATAGAATTTAATGAGTTTTTGTTGACTTGTGCATTAATTTAATTTGTTAGAACTTTATTTTCAGAATTCGACCTTCCAACAATTTTAATGATAAATTCTTTTAATTGTTTAATGGAACAAAAATACAAAATCTTACTCCTAATTGATTTCGACCCTACCGGTCTCTATCGAGTTTAAGCATATTATAAACTAAAATATATTTTGAGGAGTTCATTTGTTTAGTGTTTTTCTATGTAAGAATCCTTTTAAAAGTAAGGTCAGGATCACGATTAATAAGAGAAAAAAATATGCAAATAGTGTACGATACTTAATGGTGGTTAGGGCATTTGAAACTCGAGTTATTAGAGTCATGTTCGTGACTTAGGTTTTAGAAATGTTATATTATTGAAGGGTATTTGTTTTGTTGTTAAAATATGGTTAAGTGATCCGTTGTTACATAAGTTTTTGGAAATTGGTTTGGTGATTCATGACATAAAACCCATCTTGGGTGGGTTCGACAAATTTTGTTTTGTTTTTATTTGGAGTGAATTAAAGTTTGTGGGATTTATTTTATAGCTAATCTCGATACGTGTGAATTGGATGTTTGTTTGGTTTATTAGAGTGATGTAGATGAGATGATTTCACTATTAAATTTTGTCTTTGGTTTAAAAAATATATAACAAATATATATGTTTAAAAAATCTCTTTCGATCATAATTGTGTTACTGTCGGATCTTCTGCAACCTCGTTAAAGGCACAATAATCATATCTCTTGAGATCTCGTAGATACCTTGCTTCTCACACGAATTGCACACTATTAATCTGTTGGGAGGCAACTATCGTTTACATTTACGCCTTGAAATGATTCCACATCATGTTCGTTGTGGGGTCTACTCTAGCTGCAAGCGCTGTTGGGAGGGCACTGTTGCGTCAATTCAAGTTACGAATCTCTCGCGAGCCAAACTCCCTCTACCCCTACCTCGTCCTGTCGTAGGGAGTCGTCCCCCTTTATGTCCCTTCCACGTTCTCTAGGTGGCATGATCTATGACCAATACTTAATATTTAAGTCTACAAACCCACAAGCATGGCATACATCACACATAACATTCCATCACAATACCATTCAACAAAATCATTTATTATGTTTCATAGGACATACTTGATGATGTCGGATCATCAACAATAGAACCATGTAACATGCTAAGCCTACATCGTAGGTTAGTCTACATGATCTATAACCTAGACTCTAATACAAATTGTAACGACCCTATCTTTCTATGGAAATAAAGTCGCTACCACATGTATGACATGATTTTTAAGTTTAGAAACATTCAACTAAAATAGTTTATAAATGATATCATGAACTTAAATGTTTGGAATAAAATCTGTAAACAAAACAACAGAAAATGAATAGCATGAAATTTAAATAAAACAAAGAATATAATAAAAGAATGCCCTAATCAAACTTAGGCTATAAAATAGACATAAATACGACTACCCTAATGCTCGTTTCATGGCCTTTATTGCAGTGCCATTGTAGGGTGTGTTACCTTTACCTAAAATGTAAGAGTAGCACATGACTTAAGTATTTTAAGAAATACTCAGTAACCCCACTATGGGATTAAAAAAAAAAAAAAATGCATGCAGCATGGTGGAACCTATTCTTTTAACTTATCATAGCATAGCCTTAGGTAGATTTTCAGTTCGCGCAAAGTTCGATGTGTAGTACTTCTCTACATATGACACAAGCGTGCGAGCATGGCACACCAGATGGGTTCACACACCCCTTGAGCCTGGCTCGTCAGACTAGCACTTATTAATGGATTCTTGTCGAACATCTCAGAGGGGAAGAGCCTGCTTAACATCACGACGAACATAAATGTCATAAATCATAAGTTGTAATGTATGCGTCTATACTCATCATCTTGGGAAGTATCTCAATGCACATAACACATAAATATGCATGAGTTCTCATAACTTATAATCATGACATAATGCATAATGTAAGACAAACTTCTATTTATCTATAACATAATAAATCAGTAAATTATACTTACATAATTTCGGTACATTCTGTAATACATAGCATAGCTTTCATGGCATGATCT